AGCCTTAGAGATAGGGTGAGGAGCTCGGACATTCGGGAGGGACTCGGAGTAGAACCGCTGCTCCTCCGGATCGAAAGGAGCCAGTTGAGGTGGTTTGGGCATCTGGTCAGGATGCCTCCTGGACGCCTCCCCGGGGAGGTGTTTCGGGCATGTCCTGCCGGCAGAAGGCCCCCGGGTCGACCCAGGACACGTTGGAGAGGTTACATCTCCAATCTGGTCCGGGAACGCCTTGGGGTCCTGCCGGAGGAGCTGGTGGACAAGGCCGGGGAGAGGACGGCCTGGAGCTCCCTAGTTGGGATGCTGCCCCCGCGACCCGGACCCGGATAAGCGGAGGAAGACGAAGACGAAGAAGGTAAGCTACTACCGCTGTTTTTGTCCAAATTTTGCAACAGTGGTATATCCCCTTACTAATCTGCTAAGTCCGAAATATCCATTTGTGTGGAGTGAAGAAGCTCAAGCAGCTTTTACGTCCTGCAAAGTTCTTCTCTCCAGTGTACCTGTGTTGAAGGCTCCAGATTTGGCCAACCCATTCACCTTGGAGGTTGATGCTAGCCAAGTGGGGGCGGGTGCCGTTCTACTGCAGGCCGATGAGAAGGGGATTAACCATCCGGTGGCGTATTTCTCGAAGAAGTTCTCTCCCTGTCAAGCCCGGTATTCGGTTATTGAAAAAGAGACGCTTGCCCTAATAATGGCTCTGCAACACTTTCAAGTATACGTAGGTTCTACTACCGTACCCTTGGTAGTGTATACGGACCACAATCCGTTGTCATTCTTGGCCAAAATGTTCAATCAGAACCAGCGCTTAATGCGGTGGGCATTGCTTTTGCAAGAATATACTTTGGAGATCAAACATAAAAGAGGTACTGATAACGTGGTAGCGGACTGCCTGTCCCGCATGCCTGATTGCAGTTGAGGTTGTTGGTTTTTTTTTGTTGTATTTTTTATTTAGTTTTTCTTCTTTGAGAAGTTTTCGTATGTGACGGATTGTAAGTTTGACTTCATCAAACTTTTTGTGAGCAGGGGAGGTGTTATGGGCTTTGAGTAATTGTTTTCTCTGTTACCGGGGACTTCACACAACTTCGGGTCCTTGGAGGAGAAGAGGAGAGCAGAGAGGAGAGTGGGGGCGTGAGCTCCTGCTTCAACGAGGTGCAGGGTTGCCGGGACAACGGGGGAGGATCCCCACAACAAGGACAGACAGCGGAAATATTGAGGGGAGGATCCCCACAACAAGGACAGACAGCGGAAATATCGAGGGGAGGAATCTCCAGGACGCGGATCAGGGATCACACCTGCAGCAAATGAACTGATTGCTCGCCTCACCTCTTCAAACAGGATTTAAGCAGTTCATGGACGCTCCGACGGGGAGCGACTCTTTAACCTTGAGCTCGTCTCCGCAGCTGCTTCATTGTGCACATTCACTACGTGTGATAAGTAATAAAAAGAGATTATAACTCTCAAGTATTTTGTTGTTTACGTCATTCTATTGGTCCTAGAAGCCGTTCAGACAGACGTGTGTGCACTTAAGAAAGTCAAAAGAAGCTGCTGCTCTTCTGTACTCCGTTTTGGTACATTTGTATTTGTTTTGGGACATTAGAACCTCACCCCCCCCTTTTCCGTTGTGAAGATATAACACATCTTTTCCACCCATCCTGAATTGATAACGGTTCCAGCTCTAGTTAATTACTACCTTTATGTCCGGAGTGTTTATGGGTCCGTAGTTAAGGATGTCACCGCAGATGGTCTGACCTGCTGTGAGAGGTGGTCACCTTCCCCAGAACCCTCCAACGCGCCGCTTCCTGCTCTGGGGGTGGTCCCGGAGGACGCATCGCATCCTGCTCTGGCGGTGGTCCCAGAGGACGCATTGCATCCTGCCTCGGCGGTGGTCCCGGAGGACGCATCGTATCCTGCCTCGGCGGTGGTCAAAGAGGACGCATCGCATCCTGCCTCGGCGGTGGTCAAAGAGGACGCATCGCATCCTGCCTCGGCGGTGGACCAAGAGGACGCATCGCATCCTGCCTCGGCGGTGGACCAAGAGGACGCATCGCATCCTGCCTCGGCGGTGGACCAAGAGGACGCATCGCATCCTGCCTCGGCGGTGGACCAAGAGGACGCATCGCATCCTGCCTCGGCGGTGGACCAAGAGGACGCATCGCATCCTGCTTCGGCGGTGGAGCAAGAGGACGCATCGCATCCTGCCTCGGCGGTGGACCAAGAGGACGCATCGCATTCCTGCCTCGACGGTAGTCCCGGAGGACGCATCGCATTCCTGCCTCAACGGTAGTCCCGGAGGACGCATCGCATTCCTGCCTCGACGGTAGTCCCGGAGGACGCATCGCATCCTGCCCCGGCGGTAGTCCCGGAGGACGCATCGCATCCTGCCCCGGCGGTAGTCCCGGAGGACGCATCGCATCCTGCCCCGGCGGTAGTCCCGGAGGACGCATCACATCCTGCCCCGGCGGTAGTCCCGGAGGACGCATCGCATCCTGCCCCGGCGGTAGTCCCGGAGGACGCATCGCATCCTGCCCCGGCGGTAGTCAAAGAGGACGCATCGCATCCTGCCCCGGCGGTGGTCAAAGAGGACGCATCGCATCCTGCCTCGGCGGTGGTCAAAGAGGACGCATCGCATCCTGCCTCGGCGGTGGTCAAAGAGGACGCATCGCATCCTGCCTCGGCGGTGGTCAAAGAGGATGCATCGCATCCTGCCTCGGCGGTGGTCAAAGAGGATGCATCGCATTCCTGCCTCGGCGGTAGTCCCGGAGGACGCATCGCATTCCTGCCTCGGCGGTAGTCCCGGAGGACGCATCGCATCCTGCCCCGGCGGTGGTCAAAGAGGACGCATCGCATCCTGCCTCGGCGGTGGTCAAAGAGGACGCATCGCATCCTGCCTCGGCGGTGGTCAGAGGACGCATCGCATCCTGCCTCGGCGGTGGTCAAAGAGGACGCATCGCATCCTGCCTCGGCGGTGGTCAAAGAGGACGCATCGCATTCCTGCCTCGGCGGTAGTCCCGGAGGATGCATCGCATTCCTGCCTCGGTGGTAGTCCCGGAGGACGCATCGCATTCCTGCCCCGGCGGTAGTCCCGGAGGACGCATCGCATCCTGCCCCTGCGGACGTCCCGGAGGACGCATCGCATCCTGCCCCTGCGGTGGTCCCGGAGGACGCATCGCATCCCGCCCCAGCGGTGGTCCCAGAGGACGCATCGCATCCCGCCCCGGCGGTGGTCCAAGAGGACGCATCGCATCCTGCCTCGGCGGTGGTCCAAGAGGACACATTGCATCCTGCTTTGGCGGTGGTTGGCTCTTAGTCCTCGTCCTCTATTGTCCCCTCAGTATCTTAGCCCAGAGCCCCCTCTTAGTCCTCGTCCTCCAGTGTCCTCTATCCCCAGACTCCCGCAGTGCCGGCTTCTGGTTCCCCGTCTCCGGCCCCCCAGACTCCCGCAGTCCTGGCTCCTGGTTTCCCGTCGCCGGCCCCCAGACTCTTCTGGCCCTCCCTCCTGCTCCCCCTCCTCCCGCCTGCTCTGGTTTCCTGTGGGTGTCTGAAATCCCCCCTTGGGGCCCATCTGGTAACTCCACTAAAAATACTTTTTTTTAATATACTTTAACTGTGTTTGGAGTCATTACGGGTCTTCTGAGTTCAGCTCATGACAATGGATGGGTCATTTCACATAATAGGACCATTTGCTAGATGGGGACCTAGTTGGAATTAGTTAAACAGCACCACTCAGTGACAGGTACAACACCTGGATGTTAGTAGGCTACTGCAATCTTTCAGAACCATCCACTTGAGCAGGTCGGGAGTATATCACGGCTGTGCTGTCGTATTTATGTATTGTAAGATGAAGTCTTCTGAAAACGATGAAAACCTAGACATTTTTTCAGTTTATGAAATCTTCCCAGATGCCCCTAATAGCACCTAAAAAGCAAAAATGTCACGGAAAAAGAGGTTTGGTCACCTAGCATAAAGTGCATGGTTTTTAACCGTTATTGCTGCTAGCTAACTGTTACCAGTAGATGAGAGAAACATTGCCCTCTTTTATCTACTGCTAAGTAAGTCAAAATGATAAAACTGGATATCTTAGGCCTAGTCCACACGTAGCTGGTTTTTTTGAAAAACGAATATCCGTCCCTCCAAATTCTTGCATCCACACCACCTCGTTTAAAAAAAAAACTCTGTCCACACGCACCCGGATAAATACGTTATTAAGGACATGCCAGACCTGTAGGCGGCAGTACGTCCCCCGTTCTTAACCTCGTCCTTCGTCTGTGGTCTTCCGCAAGGAGCAGTAATTCCGCTTGCACAAACAAATAAGCAAAAAGCGCTTGGACAATTGATAAAGCGAGCGCAGCTCTGAGGGCATCCATGCTGTCGGCTAGTGTAAACACAGGTCGCACACGTGATGTCAGCATTTTTCTGTCGCGCAAAGTGACGTTGCGGACTTCTAAACTCCGGTTTTGTCTGTCCACACGCAGACACCCAAAATGGAGAATACGCAGATCTTCACTTTGGCCGGAGTTTTTAAAAATATCCGTTTTCGTGTGAAAAAACTCCGTTTTCGTGTGGATGACAGGCCAAAACATAGAAAAATATCTACATTTTGGCAGATCCCCGGCTACGTGTGGACAGGGCCTTAGTCTTTTTTGTGGGATACACTTCCAATCCAATGCAATCCAATTTTATTTATAAAGCGCATTCACAAGGCATTACAACCAGACAAGGCGCTGTACACTAAAAATGTTGGTTAATTAAACAGGCGTTATATAAACATGTCGAACACAGATAAAAGATAAAAAGGAAATACAACAAAATTCCCAAAAATAACAGCTAAAAATCAATAAGACACAGGGTGAAGTAAAAATAGGAAAAAACATTTTACGAAGAACCTCAATAATACGGAAGTCGATAATTGTGGAGTCAGTTTATAAACAGTGCAGATGTCAGTGAGGTTCATAATAATGTTGTATAAGCTAGGTTGAAGTAGTGCCATTTACCATTTAGTGAGTTTTCAGGCGTGATTTAAAAATGCTAGCTGTTGGTGCTAGCCTCACTAGCAGTGGTAATGCGTTCCACAGCTTCGGTGCACAGACAGAGAAAGCCCTCTCTCCACGGCTTTTTAAACGTGCATTGGGAACAGCTAGGAGGACCTTATCTTCAGACCTGAGAGCACGCGGCGGGTTGTAGTAATGGACCATTTCACACAGATATGGAGGAGCTTGATGGTTCAAGGATTTGTAAGTGAGAAGCATAATTTTGAAGTTTATCCTGAACTGCACGGGCAACCAGTGAAGAGATTTCAGAATTGGAGAAATGTGTTGTCTTCTGTCAGCTCCAGTCAGCAACCTAGCTGTTGAATTGTGGACCAGCTGAAGTCTAGAAAGAGCTGCTTTACTGATGCCATATAAGCAGGAGTTGGAGTAATCCAGCCTTGAGGTGCACATTTTTTCTTGCCGAAAAACCATCTGATATCGGGTGCGTTCTTTCTTTTCGACATGGTCAACGGACACCTACTTTTCATCTTCACTTTTAAAAAAAAATCAATGAATCCCGTAGTTCACGGACAGCTAGGTTGTCGGAGTGTGGAGTTGACCAGAGAGTGGAGCCTGATATAAAGATGAGTATTTTTCTCTGAAAATCTAATTTGACAGTCAAAAATAAAACAAGGATATATATAATATAATACAATAATAATAATAATAATACAAGATCTTTTTTGCTAGGCTAGCTATATGGATGTAAAGATTCCACCTTGCTTACAGGCTAATGGGGGGTTTCAGTGCCGTTGGAAAAACAAAACAGGATTTTTAATAACTGTCAATACACTACTGTGCATATTGGAGTGAAACATTAAAAACTGATGAATACTTAAATATGCTAGCCTATTTAATGATTGTCCCCAGCAATTTTTAAACCCCACTCAAGTGTATGGTTATTGTCCCCAGCAATTCTGAAAACAAACTGACGCCCTTGACAGTTCTTCATATTTTCTTTCCAAGAAGTTTCAATGTTTTGCGAGAAACGTGGCCAGTGAGCTTTTAACCAAATACCTTTCATTCTTCAGGCTGAGGCGTTTAATCTCTGTCATGTTGATGCCAGCTGTTTTCCTTCCATTCAAGCTCAAAATAACCCATGAATGCTAATGCAAATATTTTTTCAGAAATATTTCCATATTTTTCCTATAAATTAGACTCTGGCAATCATATCCTAGATAAAATATTTACCCAGGAATTTGATGACATGTACGTTTCTCACGCATTCATGTGTGTTGATGCTTTCCATAGAAGAAAACACAGGAAGGTCTTCTGCCGTTCCAAGTCTGAGTCATTAGTACTGAGTGTTTTTTTTTCTCAACAGCAATCCTCCTTTTCACAGCTTGTATGTTCATTCGACCTCTGTGAGAAGGACTTATTCATGTGTAACCACATTTCTCAAGTAGGCCCATTGTCTCCACATCTTTTCGCTGCCGAGGTCTTTTCCTAATGAAATGACTTGATGGATTTTCCCTAAGCCATGGGCTCTTAGCTGCCAGAAACAATAATTGCATAGCTTCGTTTTTGTTCTCGGTTCTTCTGATAGATTCCCAATCTCTCCTGCAAGTTTTTTCCCCTCTCGCTCTCTTTTTTGATGATTTTTGGGATTGCGCAAAAGGACTTTCAAAAGGCCTAATATGGTCAGCGAGCCACAGTCACATCCTGTCATGTGTGAACGTCACTTTCTCCTTCAACATGTGTAGGTATTTGGGTTTTTTCCCCTCTCAGGGCATGAAATGCTTTTAGCCAGAATACATTACAACTGCATGTGCCTTCATATTTTTCTGTCTAAACCTTTTGTGAGCATAAATGACCTTAAAGATTATCGTGTCAGCACAGATGGGCATGTCTTTGGTCTCGTTTACTGTCTGAAGAGAATTTTCTTGGAAACTCAAGTTAGGTGGGGTATTTCTGGCACACTGCTATCACATAGAGCAGCAGAAAGCAATGTAACGAGAAAGGAAGATCTTTGTCAGATTTATTTTATTGCTTCAGCTCAGAGCCTGTGGTTTATCTGAGATTTATAACAAAACAGCCAAACACTCTGACTGTGATTATTAGATGGAAACAACATGTTTCATGGGTTGATCCCATCATTCAAGTGCCATTTTTTTTCATCCGATCACTTAAAAGAATGCATAGGACAACTGAACTAAAACATTTCTAAATATCTCACAGACTAGAACTTAAACTGACATATTATCCAATGAAAGATTTGAGCATATTGGGAGTCTGCATGCAGAGCAGCATGAGTGCAGCAGGAGGCAGAAGTCTGAATATGTGCTTTGTCTACTTGGCAGGATCCGCAAACATGTGCAGCATGCAAAATGAAAGATGTAAAAGTCAGTGAGATCCCTGTCAGATGTTATCACACTGAGTCTGTTAACAATAAGTTTAAAACCCATCAATGTGACGTGCATTGTGGTCATTTTACATTACACACATTAACTGTTCCAAAGGTGAAATAAATTGGTTTTGCTGCTCAATTTTAACAAAGAAAATTTAAAAAGAGTAAATGATGTTAGATTTCAATCAGTGCTTATATTAGATAACCCATGGTTTTATAGCATAAACCTTATTGAACAACATAAATCATCTCACTCATCATTCGTTTTGGACAAAATATGGAGAATTTTGGATAATTTATACTACTTTGTTAAACTCTTCCTGGCCCTCCAAGTTTTACAAAAGAAAAACTATAGTTTATTTAACGATTTGCATTAAAATGCATTCAGTTGTTTGTTTATGCTCACATCTAAGGAAATAAGATGTTTTCTCTCTCCTTAAGTCCGTTTATAGCTCTCTAAAAGTCACCACAGATCCTGCAAGGTATCTAGTTGCCATGGACACTTCTAGCTCTACCCAACTTTTTTAATTAAAATCATATCTGGACCCAAACCTTTTCTAATTATTAGATTTCCCGATCATTAAGCAGGTGGCTGAAAATGACTCAGGATGAAAACTGAAGCCATGCATATCCTTTTCTCATTAACCGGCAGCAGCAAAGATCTCAGAGCAGCTGGTGCAGCAAAAATCACCAGAGCATCAGGATTTTCATACATCTGGTACAAAAAACACCATACAAAGTGAAACGGAGGCTTGTTTTCTGACTAATAAGCTCTTGAAGCAGGATCTAACAGTCACTCAGCCGGTATTGGCTAATCAAGAGATTACAATCTCAATCCCACTGATTTGTTATTGCATTGTTCTTAACTAAATAATTAATTGTAGATATTTATAAATCTTACCTTGTTTGTGCATTAGGTATAACAGGTTATGAGCTAAGAGCCCAGAAGTGAAACAAATCTAAAAATGAACATTTAATATGTTAAAAATAACAGAATTCTGACAAAATTATTCGGAATATTTCAAGGCTTCTGTTCCGTAAAGCAAGATGTATGTAAGTGAAATCTAGGAAGTTTAAAAATTTTTTTTAAATATGTCATAAATTTCAGATTACTGTTCGAAAAATAACTTGTTTTTTGTTTAATTTCCTATCTTTACTTTGAGACGTTGGTGGAGTTCTCAGATGTTCCTTTTATTTTTACTAATAAATTCCCTAAATTGCGTGTTTCTTGTCATTATAAAAAACAAGCTATTAACATAACTTTCAGGTCTTTCACCATCCTTTTTGTGGAAACAGACTTCATCTGAAAGTATATTATTTATTTCCTTGTGATTAAGGACAGCATTACTAAGCTGCCGGGGTGACTCAGCCTCGTATCCCTTTGCACTTGACTTCATAGATTTGAAATGAAAAGAAGCTACAGAATCTAAACACCTTTATCAGACATACTCTACTCGACTTGTTATCTTCACATAGAGGCACAAGCACCAAATGCACCAGATGATTAAAAAAAAATGGCTCTCATAACTGGAAATATGTTCTGCAATAATGCACAAAGGCCAAACTAGAATAAATGTATTATTGGACTGACTGCTTTGAATGCAGAATATCGTGGTTCTTAATCTGTGTGCAGCAGAACAAAATGCTGGGAGGTTGCACGAAAAGCCAAAAACATCTTTTTATCTTTAATCTTCATGCAAATTATCTGGAATATTCTTTCTGGAATGTAGACATGGTCTTTGTGGATCGTCGATTGATTAAATGTTGTTTCATTTGCTTATAACAGACACATCAGCTGTTTTCTCTCAAGCAGGAACAAGCACAGGCATACACAAGCGTTTACTAGTTGAACAGATGGCCGGAGCAAAACACATTTGTAACGATATCAGCTAAATGTTTGCTTGACATTTTTTGCAGCAGACGTGAACATGTGGTGCGGGCTTTGTCCTTATGGTCGGTTACACATGGTATCAGAACTTGTCACCAACCATCCTCTCTCTGCTCCCTCTTTGAATTTGCAGGGTACTTTTTAAAGGGTTCAAAATAAAAACACTGAAATTCTTTTCTTTGATGCTTAATAAAACAGCAGTGAAATAAATCAGGTTGTCTTTCTTTTGTTGCAATAGCCTTTGGGATGGGAAAAACCCCAGAAAATTTTAAACATTCCTGAACAAAAATAGAAGCTCTTGTTTTTGTACGTTCTGTAAGAAGCGCAGCATGTTTACTCAAGGGCGCGAGGGGAACGATGACATTTGTATTCCAGCATTCCCATGACTGGGATCATAAGGCGGTGTTTGGTTCGGTTAGGTTCACAGGAAGCTAGCTGGACTGAAAAGAAACACTCAAGAGTTGGGGGAGGGAATCAAGACATGGTAACAGAAAGATGGAAGGGACATAGTCCTCACAAAACATAAGATATTATGTTTTTACGGTAAATTGTGATTTATAAACATTACTTCTTGACTAACTTGATATTTTCATCAACGATTGATGTACAAACCCAGAGGGTGCTTCTTTTCTTCACTCAATGTTTTGGGTTTAGTGTTGCTGTCGCTGATTACAATAAGTCGCTGCACATGGGTGACTCCAATTACTCTGGAGGCTTGACAGCCAATTTAGTTTTTACCATGGGCATTCAGAGGGAAACATGTCAGAAATATTTTCAACAGGATTGAAAAACTATCAGCTTTCATAGTGCCACAAGGAATTAGATATTTCTGATGCCTAACATATGAGCATCACCTAACGGACTTCATTAATGAGCAAACCAGCCATCCATCCATCCATCCATCCATCCATCCTTCTTCAGCAGGGTCACAGGAGGTTGGAGCATTTCCAATAACCATTGTGTGAGAGGCAGGGGACACCAGGTCTCTAGTCCATCACCAGGACACATTGACTGCCATTCACACGCTCACTCACACATAGGGAAATTTACAGGGACAAGCAATCCTGTTCCGGGGGTGCTGCTATCCGGCATGCTTTAGTTATTTTCCTGTTCCAGCACACCTGCTTTTAACAAGTAGGCGATTGACAGGCTTCTGCAGAGCTTGATGACTTGGTGAACAGGTGAATCAATCATTAAATTAGGTGTGTTGGAGCAAAAATGTGCTGGATAGCGACATTTCAGAACCTGGACTGCCTACCCCTGGTCTGGAGTCTCTAATCAGCCTAACATGCATGTTTTTGGTCAGTGGGAGGAAACCAGAATACCCAGAAGGAATACATGCACGACTGGAGAAAACACGCCAACTACATTTAGAACAGTACTCAAACCTTCTTGCTACCAACTGCACCAATGTTTGTTTTGCAGTTCACATGGTGAGTTTAAACCCTGAAAAAGGCAATTTTACTGTGACTGTTCAGTTATTAAAAGCTGATTGAAGCTTCCTATAATAAATGATGCAATAGCAGCTTTTTCCAGATGAAAACGCTGACCACCAGCCTTTGACATGATTGTAGTTTGCTTCAAAAGACTCATGATGTTGTGGCGGCATGAAGTCAACCACTGCTCTCATCTTCCTTTCCTTCCTCCTTTGATTTCTTGTACTTCCTACGCTTCGTGGCTTAATCATCAGGTTTGTGCAGCACTTTGTGGATGGCAGGTTTGTGTCTCACCCACTCATTGAGACTCTGGAGTAGACACAAAATGCCTCCAGGCTGGGGATCCTTTCAAACTTTCTCTACATGTTCTAATTGCTCTAGGTTGGTGAAGTAGTTAAGCTTTTAACTACTTTTGTGAAAAGCAAAAATTACAGGAGGCAGCCCTGATTTCTGACAAGCCGTGATTGTTTCAAGGGATGATTTAATTTTATTTTATTCGTACTGATTGTTTAAATGATGCTTAAATAGAATTCCCTCTGCTGCCCGAACTCATGCCTACCTTTGTCTGCTTTGCTCGTTTAATTTTCATTCTTCTAGCTGTCCTGCAATTAAAAAAGCATCTAACTTTGAACCCCACTGCTTTAAAAAAGTCTTTGTTCTGCTGTCACACCAACAGCAGCATTTATTTCATTATTTCACCTTGTTAAACTTAACTAGCGTGGGAGTGGGAAGAAAGGTTCCAGCAGATACGTGTGTTAGTAAAGTACCGCTTACGTCAAACAGTGACGAACAACGCTGAACAAGTAGAAAACTTTAAAATGCAAAAATGCACAGCATTTAATGCATTATCATCACAAATGGCAAAAATATGACACACTTTGACAAATAATAAATAGATTTCCTGCCTTTCAAAGGCTACAAAATGTCACAACAAAGAAAAAATAAAAAAATAACTACAACATCCTCATTTGCCAGTGAAAACAGCACAGCATACATTCATGGTTTAAATGCCACACAGCTCCTCGTGTGACATGTGAGCTGGAATTACTTGTTGCTAAATACCACAATATTCAAATAACAGCTCATCTCATTACTGCCTGTAACAGCAAAACAACCAGGAGGCTTTGCAAAATAAAAGTCTCTTGTTGATGATGAAACACTCAACCATAGCGCAAAAATATGACGGGTTTTCGTCCATTGTGAAAAGGCACTTCATAAATAACGCATCACAGCCACAAAGCACAGAAACTTCAATTAAACTTAGCTTAGTACACTGTTTCACCACAGAAATGTAAAACTGGTGTTTCTATTTGAAATCGTTCATAGAACTGTATCTTCTCCAGCTTTATGATCGCTACTGAGGTCAAACTTTTCATTAAGAATTACAGCAAATCATTACTGCTACAATGCCTCTAAAGGACTAGCCAAGGAATCATAAACCAGCTTTATGTAGGAATTCACTTGCACATCTCACTGCTTTGATATTTATTTTTTTTTTTCACATTTAATGACATATTGTTATATGGTACCTATTTGTAACAAATCAACCAGAGTGCTACAAAACAAACTGTGTATTTGCAGTTTATATACAACTTATAAAATTGGCTGTCATTTTTTTTAAATCAAGAATTAAGTTACCAATATTTAAAGGTGTGGAACACTTGTTTAATCAATACATTTGCAATGGTCACTAGTAGGAATGAATGACTTGTAAGTTGTACCTGGGGGGCAAAAATCACTGGTGCACTAATTTCAGGAATTAGAAGTGAGCCACATCACAGCTGAGCATCAGACGCCAGGTTTTAGAGTCTTATTTCCTAATATGTGGACATCTCACCTCTGATTGGATAAAAGCGACTCGACTCTACCGCTGACTTGCAACGTTGATGTTTTATCTCCACAAATAACGCAAGCCTGGAGGAGTTCAGCTATGTGGTGGAGTTGCTAATGCTAACGTTAGCTTAAACTAGCCAATGTGTTCTTTGCTGGACTCTAAAATAACAACAGCCTTCCTCGTTGTGAGTCAGGATGGGTGAGTCTATGAATATTTAGTGGCAGTGTGACATAGATCTGTCAGGCTTTTCAAATCCTAGAATTTCACCGTCTATTTTCTATCAGAAGCTAATGCAGGAGATAGGTGTAGGAGACTATTTTCATGTTCAGCCTGCATGAAAAACTCAAAGTGACCAATTATAATCAGAAATAATCATTAAAACATGGGTTTTCAGTGCTCCACACCTTTAAATTTCTCATAAATTGATCCAACTAACCATTAGCCAACAAAAAAGTGAAGGTGTGATTTAAAACACTGGGTTCCAAGCTCCCTTGTTTCCATGAAAACAAGAAACATGGTCTGTTTTGCCATGCTCCTGCTGCTAAAAATAGCCCTCCTAAATGAGCTTGGGCTTTCAAAAACATTGATCAACTTTGCAGAATCTCCTGAAGGATTATTTAACCTTTTCTAAAACTCATATACTTGATTTGTATCCTATTAAAATAAAGAATTCTCTCAGCAGGAACAAATAAACATCAAAAGGCTGACTAAGGGATGGAACTGTCAACACGTTCACCTTTTTTGAGGATTTTTATGGGATGCAAAAATCGATCAAGAAAGTTGTCCGTCTTGTATTCCAGAGTAAAAGAAGGGTATTCTTGTGTGTTTTGATGTTACACAATCAGAGAAAGGTCCATTTCTTAAATTCTGAAGTAAAATATCTGTCAAGATGCCCCTGAAAATGTCACTGAACATGAGTGCCTCACTGATTGAATGCTTTGTTGGGTGACGGTTGGATGTTGTTGGCTGTGCTGTTTGTGTCCCTTCCTACTTTGGTCTCTGTCCTGAAGGAGGAGGAGTTGAGCGGACTCCTCTTGAGGATTTTATTGGCCAGAACACTGCAGGTCTTCCTGTATTGGTGGCGCAGCAGCGAGTACACGAATGGGTCGCTTGCTGCCTTGCTGTAGGCCAAACATTTGGACAGGATGCCCCAGTGAGGGCTTATGGGGCCTGGGGAGAAAATCTCTACAATCCTGCACCAAATAAAGCAGAAAGGAAAACAGTCACACATCCGACCCCAAGAGCAAAACACAGAATCAGAGATCGTGTCTCAAGCATGCAATAATCCACAAAAAATACATCAAACTCACGTGTGCAACCCAATATATAGAGCTCAGCTCACCTTGTAATGACATAAGGCGTGAAACAGACCACAAACGTGCCAATGAATGTGCTGATCTTCTTGGTGGCTCGCTGCCTCCTCCGCTTCTGCTCCTCCAGGCATTTCTGTCGAACACTACCAAAGCACACGGGTACCATTATCCTCCCAGAGAAAAGATCACAGACGTGCAGAGGTGACGGAGGAATTCAGGGGGAAAACATGTGGGAGGGATGTCATGAGTGCTCTGTCATCTCTGAAATCACATTCAAATTGTGCAGATTCTCAGATGCAAACTAAAGCTATTTCAAGTAAAGCTCGACTAGAGATCAAACTTATCAGTGCAAGTTTGAAAGAAAGAAATAAAAATTATTACTGTAAACCAGGGGAATCATTTCTTAGTTTATTATTTGAGAATGAAGCCAGCTGTTCTTAAGCCACCATTTGCTGAAAAAGGGATTTTTCTAGAAATGCAAAATAACGGACATGTGATTATAATAATGTGCATACAGATTATTTACCTGGGGTGAATATCCACCAGCAGCACTAGCGTCTGCATGGTAATCACGTCGATGCGCTTACAGTGGAATCTTGCAACTTTCAGCACTTTCAGGTATGTTACGCACATCACGATCAGTGTAAGAAGGAACGTGAGAGTGTGCAGAGCCACCGTGAAAACCATAAACTGAACCCCAGCTACCTTGGCTCGCGCGTTACAGAGGGTGCAGGATGCGTAAAGGTGGTGGTATCCGACCCAGGAGCGGCAGGTGGCCACGGTGGAGAAGCAGAGTGAGTGTATCCAAGTGTAACCGAGCGCCAACACCGCATCCCGGTGCCGTATTCTCGAGTGGTAGCTCAAAGGAAACACCACCGCCACCCACCTATCGATGCTGAGCGCAGCCATGCTGAGCATGGAGTTTGTCGTGAGAAAAGTGTCGAGGAAACCCACGATGTGACAGAATCCTGCGCCTCCGGGGTGCCCCGTGGTGATGAGTCCAACCAGAGTTAGAGGCATGTTGGACACGCTCAGCAACAGGTTGCAAAAGGTCAAGTTGAGGATAAAAAGACCAGGTACCTGCTTGCGGATCTCCGGGTTGTACAGAAAGCAGATCAGCACCACCACGTTGGACAGCAGCGACACAACAACGATCCCCAAAATCAACACAGAAGCCACTATGTCCGCTGCGTCCATGGTGCTTAAATATCCAGAGTCGTTCAGAGCACATCCGCGGTCCCGTTGCAAACTATCATCAGGCGTTACAGTCACGACGGTCAGGACAGGAGTCTGGATCATGCCATCCCTGTCCAGGATTCAGCGACAGACACAATCCTCCGTGGTTTCCAGATTCGATCGCCTCTGGTTATGTTGGGGAATCTGGTAACCTCTCCCCCAGGAAAGGGGTCCTTCCTGTGGCGCTGCTTTATTTTCTTCCCTGAGCATCACATCAGTCACATCTCACACGTTTCTCACTGCGCACAATGGCGCACCTTGTCAGTTTTAAAATGGGAGTTAAAACCAGGTGTTTCCGTGCGTCTAAGCGCTCCGCTGGACGCACTTCAGCTTCAAATGAGTCCTTGAGAGTAAAAATAGAACTACGACGCTCACTGGCGTCATGTGATGGTCGTACTGATGTCATGAGCGTCACGTTGAACTCTGGCGAGAACATATACGCACCATAAAAATTAGATAATTAAAACTGGGTCCTAATTAGATGTTTGGTCAGTCAGACAGGATCAAATCATTAGCTTCTGTTTATTAATAGCAGCTCATCAGCTCTCTTAGCAGAAAACAGTATAGACCCTAAAAAAGAAGTCATGCTGTTTAACAAAAAAAAAAAATTCTAATGAACCATAAATGTTTCCTTGTTCAGATAGCATATCTGAGTTTTTGACTTTAGATGTGCTATAATTATCACGGGAATAACATTTATTTTCAATTTCTTTTCTGACTCACTATCAAAGGTCTATAGCGCACCCCTGTCTGGAATATGAAGTAGAAATAAAAAAAAATCATTTTGTGTAAACACAGGACTTTTTATTAGCTAATTCTAATAAGGTAATAATTTATGACTAATTTGTAACTGAACTCAAACTCTGAGATTAAAATGAAGGATTAAACTGGAAACATACCTTATTATAGTCATTAATTAAATAAAATGTATTTATTTATAAACATCTTTTGTGCCACCAATCAAAGCAGCCCAAGGTGTTGAATACACAACAAAAGCCAAAACACACACTAGACGAAAGAATAACCAGAATTTGCTGCTTCTAGAGGATCTTCTGACATCCTTTAACTCTGCAGTCAGAGATGGAAGACTTTCCTATTTCTCCAACCTGGTGTCCCAGAGCAAGGGGAATCCCAAGGAGCAGTTTAACACCATCAGCAGGATTTTTTCTTCTGCCTCTACAGCCTCCACCCACTCTGTTGCAAACTGCACTTTCTGTCTTTATTTGTGGACAAATTCAATAAGGTTAGATCTAGCATCTCGCCCTCAGCTTTATCTCTGCCTTTCCTGATTCCAACCCAGCCCATCACCCTTCTCCTGCTCCTGTTTCTTTGCCTGAGTTAACCAAACTAGTTAACTCTATGAAGACCTCTGCATGCCCCCTCGACATCTTACCCTCATCTTTGTTTTAAAGAGCTTTTCAGTCCATCGGTCCAAACGTACTCTCTATAATTAATGCTTCTCTGGTTTCTGGTCAGGAACCTGCTAAATTTATGAACACTGTAATCCACCCACGTCTGAAAAAGTGAGTCTCGACCCCTCTCTCCATAGCAGCTTCAGACCCATCTCTAAACTTCTGTTTATCTCCAAGATCTTGGAAAAGGTTGTGGCTAAACAACTCACAGCTGCTCTTGATGAACATAACATCTATGAAAGTTTTGTAGAGCTCATTGAAACAGCTTTTCTTAGGGTCTCTAACGACTTTCTGACTCACAGTGATGCAGGGGACTGTTATGTTCTGGTCCTGCTGGACCTGACTGCAGCCTTTGACACTGTTGACCATCACCTGCTACTGGAGAGGCTGAGAGACTGGGTAGGCCTATCAGGGACTGCTTTAGAGTGGTTATCCTCCGGTCTGTCTGAGTGTTCCTTCTCTGTTCTATTCAATTCAGTTCAATTCAAGTTTATTTATATAGCGCCAAATCACGACAAGAGTCGTCTCAAGGCACTTCACATAATAAACATTCCAATTCACAGTTCATTAAGCCAATCAGAAATAATGTTTCCTATATAACGAACCCAGCAAATTGCATCAAGTCACTGACTAGTGTCAGTGACTATACAGCAATCCTCATACTAAGCAAGCATGCAGCGACAGTGGAGAGGAAAACTCCCTTTTAACAGGAAGAAACCTCCAGAGAATCCTGGCTCAGTATAAGCAGCCATCCTCCACGACTCACTGGGGATCGAGAAGACAGAGCAGGCAGACAGACAGACAGACAGACAGACACACACACACACACACACACACACACACACACACACACACACACACACACACACACACACACACACACACACACACACACACACACACACACACACACACACACAAAGACAAGTAATGTGTCGATAGTTATGTTGTGATGTCTTAGTAAATATTGTATTTGGTGAAAGATAAACTTTATTGTATTTATCCTAGTGGATCTATAATTAAACAGATAAACTAGTATTAGCACATCACAAGTCAATGAAAACAAAAAGTTATTATCAGGAGAGAGAGAGAATGTATTAGTGGTTAGCAGCAGTGTGCTAGTCGATGACCCCCTCCATGAGGCCACCACAGCTCAGCAGAACGTCATTGTAGCTTCTTCTGGGGAGAAAAACACTTACAGAGAAAATAGTTAACAGCTGAAATTGCACAAAATAGTACAGTTAAAGAGCAGACTGTAGAAGAAAGCAGTAGAGTGTGAAAAGTGGTCAGTGTGTCCTCTAGCAGTCTAAGCCTATAGCAGCATAACTACAGAGTTAACTCTGGATAACCTATCCTATTTAGATGTAGGCATGTTGGAGGCAGGGCAAGGGAGAGCCGTCTTTACCGACTGTACACTCCACCTCCCTGTAATCCCCCACTTGTCCAGATTTAGGCTAACTTCAGATTTTAACTATAAGCCCTATCAAATAAAAATGTTTTAAGCCTATTCTTAAAAGTAGACAAAGTGTCTGCCTCACGGACTAAAGCTGGGAGCTGGTTCCACAGGAGAGGAGCCTGATAACTAAAAGATCTGCCTCCCATCCTAAGTTTAGATATTCTTGGAACCACCAGTAGACCTGCAGTCTGAGAGCGAAGTGCTCGGTTAGGAACATATGGAACAATCAGATTACTGATGTATGATGGACCTTGATTATTAAGAGCTTTATATGTGAGAAGAAGGATCTTAAAATCTATTCTGAATTTAACAGGTAGCCAATGTAGGGAAGCTAAGACAGGAGAGATATGATCTCTCTTTTTAATTCTCATCAGAACTCTAGCTGCAGCATTTTGGACAAGCTGAAGACTTTTAACTACATTCTGTGGACTTCCTGAGAGTAATGAATTACAGTAATCCAGTCTTGATGTAATAAATGCATGAACTAGTTTTTCAGCATCACTCCTGGAAAGTATGCTTCTAATATTAGCAATATTCCGAAGGTGGAAAAAGGAAATCCGACAAACTTGTGAAACCTGGGATTTGAATGACATGTCCTGGTCAAAGATAACACCAAGGTTCCTTGCTTTGTTCTCGGAGATTAATGTAATGCCATTAAGGTCAGGCGATTGGCTAAGCAATTTCCTTTTCTGGATTTCTGGTCCAAAGATGAGAACTTCCGTCTTGTCTTGATTTAAAAGCAAGAAGTTAAGAGTCATCCAATTTTTTATGTCCTCAAGACAAGCCTGTAATCTACCCAACCGATTAGGTTCATCAGGGTTAATGGATAAATATAACTGAGTATCGTCAGCATAACAGTGGAAGTTTATCCCATGCTGTCTAATGATTTTACCAATTGGGAGCATATATATAGTAAAAAGAATTGGTCCAAGCACTGAACCCTGTGGTACTCCGCAAGTAACCCTGGAATATGAAGAAGATTTGTCATGTACATTTACAAAATGAAATCTGTCAGACAGGTAGGATTTAAACCAGCCTAACGCTGTACCTTTGATCCCTACAACATGTTCAAGTCTTTCTAAAAGAACATTGTGATCAACTGTGTCAAAGGCAGCACTGAGATCTAACAAGACTAGAACAGACACAAGATTCTTATCTGAGGCCATACGAATATCATTTGTAACTCTCACTAATGCAGTTTCAGTGCTGTGATACTCTCTAAAACCAGACTGAAATTCCTCAAACAGAGCATTAGTGTTTAAATGCTGACATACTTGGATGGCCACTATTTTCTCCAGGACTTTGGATAAAAATGGAAGGTTAGATATTGGTCTGTAATTCATTGGGTCATCTGGATCCAGAGAAGGCTTCTTAAGTGAAGGTTTGATTACAGCAACCTTAAAATCTTGTGGTACATACCCATTTACTAAGGATAGATTGATTATATCTAGAATGGGGGCAGTAACCAAAGGAAATGCATCTTTAAATAATTTGGTTGGGATTGGATCCAAAATGCAAGTTGAAGGTTTAGATGAAGCTAATATTTTTGATAACTCTGAAAGCTCAACTGGATCAAAACGGTTCAAGCACAGATGAGGTTCTAGAGTCACCTCTGAAGCTGCCTCACTTACTGAGGAAGAAGAAATCGCATTAGGGAGGATGCTAAAGATTTTGTTTCTAATAGAATTAATTTTACTTGTAAAAAATCCCATGAAGTCATTGCTGCTGAGGGCTAAGGGATCAGATGGCTCAGAGCTATGATTCTGTGTAAGTTTAGCAACTGTACTGAAAAGAAATTTAGGATTATGCTTATTCTTCTCAATTAATGCTGAAAAATAAGCAGTTCTAGTTTGTTGAAGCTTATTTTTATAAAGCACAAGACTATTTTTCCAGGACAGGTAGGCCTCCTCATGGTGCGTAGAACGCCATGTTCTCTCCAATTTCCTAGAGTTTTGTTTTAAGGCTCGTAGATGAGAGTTAAACCAGGGAGCCAAATTCCTGTCCCTAATTACCTTCTTTTTTAAAGGGGCAACATCATCTAATGCCACACGTAAAGAGGAATTCACATGATGAACTAAGGCATCAATTTGTGAGGGGCTAGAACTGAAAATATTGCCCTCTGCTACATGCCTCTGAGATGCTGAGGACAGTAAAGATGGAACAGTTGATTTAAAAGACGCAACAGCGTTGTCAGATAGAGACCGACTATAATGAAATTTACTTTCATGTCTCGAGAACTCAGTTATAAAAAACTCAAAGGTTATCAGAAAGTGGTCCGAGAGGACTGGATTATGTGGAAAGATTGTTATTTCCTCACACTCAATGCCATAAGTCAGAACAAGGTCCAATGTATGATGGCAGGAGTGGGTGGAGCTATGTATTCTTTGAGTAAAACCAATTGAGTCTAAGATATTACTAAAGGCTACATTGAGGCAATCATTTTCGATGTCCACATGAATGTTGAAATCCCCCACTACAATGACCTTATCAGTATTTAGCACCAAATCAGATAAAAAATCAGAGATCTGATCCAAAAACTCAGAGTAAGGGCCTGGTGGACGATATAAAACTACAAACAAGAGTGGTTTTACAGTTTTGCAATCTGGATTAGGAAAACTAAGAATAAGATGTTCAAACGAACTGTAGCTATTAATCTGTAAGGGACTGATTAATAAGTCCGAATGAAAAATGGTTGCCACTCCTCCTCCTCTCCCTGTACTTCGAGCAATATGATGATTTAAATAATTTGAAGGAGTCGACTCGTTTAAGCTAACATAGTCCTCTTGCTGCAGCCAGGATTCTGTGAGAGAGAGCAAAGAGATCTGATTATCACAAATCAACTCATT